ACCTAGGACAACGCAGTAAGTTCCAAAACCTTAATTTTAATCTGGTAGATATAAGTAATAAACCCTTTGGAAGGGTTTATGAAAGCGTATATAAAAATCAAATACCCTTCTAAGGGTTTATTATTCTACCTTTTTTTTTACAGTGTATTGAGTATCACAGTTAGCTTTTGAAGAAGTGACTGTTTTAACTGAAAAAGCTACATATAAATAGTTTTCTTTTAAATTAAACTAATTTCTAATCATTTTTATTGAGCTCAGTTCGGATTTCACTTAACAATTTCTGCTCCCAATGAATTCGATACATAGCTGTATTTAAGTGTTTGGTTAAATTCAACTGGCATAAACTTAAAGTTGTTCAGACTCGAATGAAAAATTTTGCTCAAACAAACAACGTACGGCTGCTTTCAAATAACAAGCCGAATGACTTAGCCATATGATTGTTTCAAAGGTGTTTTAAATAATAAGCAGAGTTAATTGCTGTTTGTTTGCTCAATTCAAGCTTTGTCTTGGTGAACTAATATATAAAATAAATTACTAAAAAATTATTTCAAGAGACTAAAGCAGATTTTAGCCGCTTTTGATACTTTTCTCTGAAGAATTTGTCGTTGTTTACATACTCTCTCCATTACTAATTTCACTAGACTAATTACGAATTTTATCGTTAAAATGAATCATTTTCGTTATATTGAGAGTTCAATGTTTGAAGTGAGTCAGAAAAAAGATGTTTTCCCTATTTCTAAGTATTAAAAACTATTTAAAATCACCCACAATCAATGACAATCAATGACAATCAATGACAATCAATGACAATCAATGACAATCAATGACAATCAATGACAATCAATGACAATCTAGGCAATCAGACAATCAGCCTTTTCCCCTTTGGGAGTATATCTTCAACTGTCTGGTGCGATCGTCATTAAACGAACTTGTTCTTCGTATGTACTCTGCTTGAAAAGCTCCTTCATACCAAGTAAAGTTCATTTGATTCATCTGTGCGAATTGGATTTTGATTCAGATTTTGAGCTTCATTACCATCATTATCTTCTAATACGTCGCACAAATGCTTAAGATGTCGATAGACACTGTTGATTTGATCTCGGATCTTCTTGAATCGACGACTACAATAAAAATATTTTGTTTCCATCAAGATAGGAATAGAAAACTCACTCATCATGTCGTTTTTCCATATTAAGTAACCAGAAAACAGCATTGAGTTCTTCTTTTGCTGATTTTTTTGAAAGAATGCTTTCTTCACAACATGGTGAATCAATATTCTCCGTTTCATTCTCAAATGCTATATCCACAGCTTCCAAATCGAATGAATCATCCAAGACATTTGATAAAGCTTTATAACATCGTTAATACATCTTGTCACCTTCTTTCAAAACTACGGTAGTCAAATGTGAATTATACGTGATTTGAAGATTGACTATTTTGACTTGCGTTGCGCCAATGGGCTTAAGACCTTCAGGATGCGCTGGTTTTTACCGGATCGCCTACAATGAGTATGTAATGGATGAGGACACAAAATCTTTTTCTTATATGGCATCTTTAGAAGTAACGGATGAATATATCTCACCAGCAAGGGTATATTCCACAGAAAGAATTATCGAAGGCATGAATGATTACAACTTTTATCATTAATGAATGGACTTGAATGTGAGAAGTAGAGCCCATCGGGTCCAAGAATTTTTGGAGCCTGACCCGAACTCGGACCCGCTAAGTCAGAATTTTCAGACCCGGACCCGAAACCGGACCCGGCCGATTAAAAGTTTTGGATCAGGACCCGGACCCGGTACATGAAAAACGTTTGAATCCATACTAGTGATGACACTAAAACTTTGAAACTACTCTGATACGATTATTCAAATTGAAGTATACTCTCCCATATTAGAAGACCCCCCAACTTGTATTACGGAAAATCCTCAGAATTTCTAGAATGGTGTTCTTACAGAAAATTGATTACTGTTTTAGGGGGTTTTCTTTTATTTGATGGGGTTTAGCGTACCTCAACTTCAATCTTCACATTTAAAACTATAACAACCACATCTTTAAGTTTAACTGTCTAAAATGTCAAAGTTTTGAGTATATTTTTCAGAAAACGTTTCTTTCGTTGAAATTACTGTTTAATGAAAAACAAATAGTTCTGAACAAAAAAAAGTCTTTTATGAAAAAAATCTATTTGAACTTTAACTCTTTGACCTGCAAATTTTTATAATGCTTCTTTCAACTTGAAAGTAAAGTTAAGCTTGTATTTTGTCACAAAAACCTAGTTTATTAATCAAAAATAGAGCTGGAACAAACGTACTCTTAAACTTGTAGTCAAATTTTCTAATTGAATCTGGTGATCGCTCCGAATATACAGCATACTTCTGTCCATTTTTTAATACAAGTAGTACATCTTACACGTCCTTTCAACTATCCGAAAAAGAGTTTTTAACAATTAATTTATAATGGACTCTGACTCCTAGCGACTCGCTAGAAATGTACAGCTTCGGATGGAATAAGGAATGGATGTATTAAAATGCTCTTATATTAGACAGCGTCACCATTAACAACATCAACTTCATTTTCAGTCAATTATACGCATAAAACTTTTCTTGTGATCTGACCCAATAAGTAAAAATATTTTTACTTTAGACCCGAACCCTGACCCGGACCCTGTTAGAAATAAATTTCACATCCGAAACCAGACCCGGACCCGGTGAAGAGAAATTTTTGGACCCGAAACTGGAACCGGACCCGTCGGGCTCTATTTGCGACCCAAGTGGAACTCGTGAAACAAAACTAATCGTAGCTCTCTACGACATAATTTTATTTCTAAGTCGAGATCAACTTCCATTTCGATAATGTTTGTGTCATTCGAACAGTATTCATACTATCTATATATACTTCTAATATGGAATACACTGTAAAAAAAAAAGCGCAGAATAATCAACCCTTACCCTTGATTTTCTTTTTCATAAACTCTTGAAGGGTTTATGAGCAAGGTATATACCCTTGAAGGGTTCATGACTAGAAGGGTTTTTGAGCATAAGGGTATTTGAATACTAAAAGGGTATATGGAGCTCCTTTAAAGGTTTCTTATTTCATATTTTAAGGTGAGGGGTTTATTATTAAACGATTAGGGGTAGATTAATATACGAATTTTTCGCAAACGTTTCTTATTCAACAGTCAAGGGTAGATTATTATTCGCTTTAAAGAAAACGTTTCTGAGTATACGGCTAAGGGTAGATGATTCAACACTTTCAGAAGAAGGGTTGATTGTACTACGCTAAAGGGTATTTTATCAGATGACTGAGGCTAGATCCTTCTCCGCTTTGGGAAGAAGCGTTTATTATAGTACGGTAGAGGGTATATTATTAAACAATGTTATCCATAAGGGTATATTGTTCTACGGATAAGGGTTGACCATACTATGCATTCACGAAAAGGGTTTATTATAGTACAGTAGGGGGTACATTATTACAAGTAACGTTCATCGACATCGAAAGTCGATTCAATAGGCCCTAGACTGACAGTGCTGAGCAGAAGAAATGCATGGACAGGACAGAAAATCGGTTGTTTGTGCCATGTGAATGGTCGTTCGTGCCATAGTAATGGTCGTTTGTGCCATAAAAATTGTCATTTGTGCCACAGGAATGGTCAATTGTGTCACATAAATGGTCGTTTATGCCACAGGAATGGTCAATTGTGCCATAAAAATGGTCATTTGTGCCACAGGAATGGTCGTTTGTGCTGTAAAAATCGTCATTTGTGGCACATGAATGGTCATTTGTGCCACAGAAATAGTCATTTGTGCCATGGAAATGGTCAATTGTGCCATTGCTACAGACAGACAGACAGACAGACACAGGTGAATTACGGTTTCTAGACCCTATCCTTTCAGTCTAGGGAGTACGATAAATGAAATCGATGGTCCAACTCTCGAGTTAATGAACAGCGTCGAAAAGATAACAACTTTCATGTCCAAATTCAAACAACAACTTCTTTTTCTGAATGAACGCGAGAAATTTTTTATTAAAAGTAATGATAACCTGATTCAACCAATTGTTTCTTCATCTGCTTTATCAAATCTTAACTTATCGTCTTCATTTTCATCTTCAACTCCGTCTTCATTTTTGTTCTCCGAATCGATACCTGATCGTGGTTCAAAAGAATTTATAAATGATGCTACATCTGAATCTGATGAATCATTAATAGCGCAAGAAAAAAACGATTTATTTCCAGACAAATATGTAATGCCACCTTTACCAAATGCTTTACTCAAAGATATACAAAATGGAGCTTTGAATAAATTTGGTCCACATTATTCTAACCGTCAAATTCTTATTGAAGCAGTTGCCTATGATTTGATTGATAAATATAATATGTTGTAAGTACAGATTTAACCTAAGCTTATTTCAAGACATTAGCATCTATTCTTTCCTAAGTCCACTAGATTGATTGATCTTCTAGATTTTCCTTTTTCAACAAACATCAAACACCCAGGTCGAGCAATCCGACAGTAGGCACCTACCGGAACCCATCCGATCCGCCTGGAATCCAATAGAATTTTATCGGATCCTGTCAGATCTTACAGAATTATCGTTGGATTCCGGGTCGAGGAATATATGTCGGATCCTCAGTGTCGGATTCCTATAAATTCCAACAAAAAACCGTTGGATGTCATCGGAAGTTCATAGGATTCCGACACTGAGGATCCGACATCGATTCCTCGACCGAAATCCAATAGGATTGTATCGGATTGTAGGATATTTCCAGGTTCCTATCGGATCCGATATCGGATCAGTCGACCTGGGCATAGATGCTAATGTCATTATTTCTTACGTTAACATTGAACTCTTTCGTGGAGATTTTTTAAATATATTTTTAAGTTTTATTTTGATAGCGTCCAAAAATCATTTAAAAGAATAATTCAATAAATATGTTTAATGAGGCATGAGCTAATTTTTAAATCAGGAAAATGGCATTTTCGTGACAATGTTTTATTTTACCAAAGAATATCCGAACAAATTTTTCTTGATGATGGTTACAGTAGAGTTGTACCACTAGACGATTGGACTGAAACGGATACGGCTAATCTTATTCTGATGATTTGTAATTGATCAAATTTACCAATAGTGAGTATTGATGTCCTAGTTGATCGTTTGAAGCTTGCTAGAAAAAAAACAATTCGTATGAAAATTATCCAATCCTGTAACCGATTCTCCCACAAATAACCTCACATTTTAGATTAGTGCTAGTATTAACTTTTTTTTTAAATTTAGCTATCCTACTCATAAACAATTTCAAGTAATTGGTGAAGCTATTGTTGAATGTTTGAAGTTACCACTGATACAAGAAAATATAGTAAGCATATTTATATTGTGGGTGTTTCCACCAGCTTCCTTCCACCATTTACAGAAAGGTTTTCAAATCGCGTTTTATTGGTTTCATCTGGTACAGATTTTTTGCGCTGATCATTTTTTGTTTTGTGTTTTCAACGATTAGTTGAGAAATAAGAAAGATATCGAAGAAACATTGAAAATAAGGTTTTTCACAAAAAATGCAGTCTATTTCGGTTTTACGACGATTTCTCAATGAAGCACTCAATCGA